GGGGTCCATAACTCCTGGGGCCACAGACCATGGGCTGCACAGCAGGAAGTGAGCAAGGCAAAGGAGCATTACCGTCTGAGCTCCACCTCCTGTCAGATCAGCAGAGGCATTCCTTTCTCATAGGAATGAGAACCTTATTGTGAACGGCGCATTCAAGGGATCTAGGTGGCATGCTTCTTATGAGATTCTAACGCCTGATGATCTGTCACTGTCACCCATCACCCCAGATGGGACCGTCTAGCTGCAGGGAAACAAGTTCAGGGCTCCCACTGATTCTACATGATGGTGAGTTGTAGAATTATTTTATTTTATATTACAATGTGAATGTGATAATAATAGAAATAAAATGGACATTCAACATAATGTGCTTGAATTATTCCCAAACCATCCACCTCCCTCCCTGGTGTCCATGGAAAAACTGTCTTCCACAAAACTGGTCCTGATTGTCGGGGAGGTTGGGGACGGCTGCTATAGACCATAAACTACAGGGGAGAGCCTACAGGGAGACTCAGACAGATCTACTTCACAGGTAAGAGCAGAGTCTCAGAGGGAGCTTGTCCAGGTTCAAAATGCCCCTTGTTATATGACCCTGGGAAAGTCATATAATGACAGTTACAAAAAGAGGAGAGACTGGACATGGTGGTTCACACCTGTAATCCCAGCACTTTGGGAGGCTGAAGTGGGTGGATCACTGGAAGCCAGGAGTTCAAGACCAGCCTGTGCAACATGATGAAATCCCTTCTCTACTAAAAATACAAAAAAGTAGCCAGACTTGATGGCATGCAGACATCTATCACGCAGCTGTAATCCCAGCTACTCAGGAGGCTGAGGCACAAGAATCTCCTGAACCTGGGAGGTGGAGGTTGCAGTGAGCCAGGATCATACCACTACACTCCAGCTGGGCGACAGAGTGAGACTCTGTCTCAAAAGAAAAAAAAAAAAAAAAGGAGAATATCAATTACTGCTTCATAGGGCCTTTGTGAGGACGGAATGAAATGACACATCAAGCATTTAGGAAGGTGCCTGGCTCATTGCAAGTGTTGAAAAAACATGCCCTCCATATCCAGTGGATGTGGGGAGAGACAGTCTAGTCCCTGACCCCAGCCCTGACCAGCTTAATACCTACCCTCGAGCGCACCCTTTGGAACAGAGTGTAAACTTCATGTTCAAAGCCTTAGGGCTCAGTCAGGGATTATTTGTTTTTTCTTCTTTTTTTCAATGCTGCCAATGCTGGGGATGAGGGTTGGCAGAAAGGAGATTTTTAGGGGATGGGCTTTTTATTCCCATGAGATATGTGTAACTCTCAGCTGTGCCTCTCCCCGTGAAGGTGTTGTTGAGCAAATGGCTTGCAGCCTGACGTGCATGGAAGCCGATAACTGTGGCACCAGAATTTGAGAAAAGAAAGGCTTTATTGTGTAACCGGCCAGCAAAGAGACAGGAGTCAGGCTCAAATCTGTCCCCCTAGAGCCAGGCACAGTGGCTCACATCTGTAATTCCAGAGCTTTCGGAGGCTAAGATGGGAAGATCTATTGAGTAGAAGTTCGAGACCAGCCTGGGCAACATAGTAAGACCCTGTCTCTATAAAAAATAAAAAATAGCTGAACATGGTGTTGCGCACCTATAGTCCCAGCTAATTGGGAGGCTGAGAAGGGAGGAACACTTGAGCCTTGGAGGTTAAGGCTGCAGTGAGCCATATTTACGCCACTGCACTCCAGCCTGGGTGACATAGCAAGACCCTGTCTCAGACAAAAAAAAAGGTAAAAACATCTCTTTCCCTGATTTGGGGTCTGGGACAAGTTTTAAAGGATCAGAGGGCAAGGGAAAAGATTTAGGAATGTTGGCTTGGCAGGATCTGATTGGAAGGCTTCAAATTTGACCATTTACAGTAAGATATGTTGAGGCTGGGCCGGGTGCGGTGGCTCACGTCTGTAATCCCAGCTCTTTGGGAGGCCAAGGTGGGTGGATCACCTCAGGTCAGGAGTTCAAGACCAGCCTGACCAACATGGTGAAACCCTGTCTCTACTAAAAACACAAAAATTAGCTGGGTGTGGAGGTGCTCACCTGTAATCCCAGCTACTTGGGAGGCTGAGGCTGGAGAATCACTTGAACCTGGGAGACAGAGGTTGCCGTGAGCCAAGATTGTGCCATTGCACTCCAGTCTGGGTGACAGAGTGAGACTCTGTCTCAAACAAACAAACAAAAAAATGTTGAGGCTGATTTTGATCCCAGATCTTTCTAGCCAGTGAACCCCTTGCTTTTGAAGAGCTATGGTATTCAGGTTTCGGCCGTGTTCTGGTCTTCTTGGTTCCAAGGGGAGGAATTATTGGTTCTTGGTGTTGTCAAAGCTTTTTCTATTGCATATGCCCAGGCTGCCTGACTTGCAGCTTTTGGCTCTGTTACACTTAAGAGAAAACTCCACATTTGCTTATAAGCAGAGTAGGTCCAGTTTGGATGGTCCTATGGTTATAAATGGATGTGACCCAGTCACAGGAATTAGGAAGCATAGATTGGCCTATTGGGACCAGAACTTTGGTGGCCATCTGACAAGGAAAGAGATGGGTCCCAAGCAGCACCCACCTGCCCTCTCTTGATACTTTCCTTAGTGGCTGCCACCATAGCAGGCATCACTGTGGTTTCAGAGCAGCAAAGGCTGGGGTGGGGCCCAGGGTGTCACAGGAACCTTCTGTAGGGATGTTCCCATTTGGGTCGGAGGGTGGGTGAGACTAAAAATACCACCTACATGATATATTTACTCTGCTCTTGTTAATACCCCAGAGAGATTGCCAAGAGTCACTACCCCCAAGCCTGTGATTAAGCTGTAATAACCACTTTCATGTTTATAAATTTTGTCCTTGATATCAGAGAGGAGTATTTTTAGGCTAGAACTTGGAGCTAACAAACCCCATCACAGGAGTGCGGATTTAGGCAAGCATCTCTCAGTGAGAACTTCCCAGGCACAGCAACAAGGGCAGGAGAGATCGGTCCATAGGAATAAATTGGGAGACTCCAGGCACCATGTCTCCATCCTTGCGGAAAACTTTATAGGGAAAACTCTCCGCAAACTGCCCTTTTCCTCTACTCTCATGCTACAACAACCATCAACACAGAAGAATACTTTTGTGGCCAAATGTGTGGATCTACACACCAAACAGTGGACCCCAGCTGGGTGTCCTCTAATTCAGTTTCCTCACTATCTACCTGGAGACAGTGTCAGATCCCACGGGTTGAGAGCTCAGTCCTCAGGACTGCCCCCCTATTACACAAGTTGCAAGTCTGGCATCTGGAACTTCAAGTTGGAGTTTCCATGATTCACTGAACTCAGGAAAACGCTTACTTACATTTGCCGTTTATGATAACGGATATTTCAAAGGATAGGATGAAGAGATATACAGGGCTATGGGGAAAGGGGCGTGAAACTTCCATGCCCTCTCCAAGTGCAGCATCCTCCAGGAACCTCCACGTGGTCAGCCATCTAGAAGCTTTCTGAACCCAGTCCTCTTGCGTTTTTATAGAAGCTTCATGAGGTAAACATTCCTTCCCCCAGAGTACAGGGTGTGACCCTCTAATGGGAGAGTCTTAAGACCCACAATCAGAAAGGCAGGTAATGTTAGAGTCCTGCCTTGGGGCAGGTGAAAAGAGGGCAGAGAGAAGGTCAGAGGTCTGCCCCTGAGGCCTAACATACCCAACATGACCACAAATCACTGTAGCAAAGGCTATGGGAGTTAGGAGCCAGGAACCATGAATGAAAACCAGTACATATCATAACACCACAGAAGCTAGTCACATTAGGGTGCACATCCCTTTAACTCAGAGCACCTCAGCAAATGTGGAAGCTTTGTGGATATCTGTGCCTTTCGGTTTTTTTTTATTTTTCGTTTGGGACAGGATCTCATGCTGCCACCGAGGCTGGAGAACAGTGGCATGATCACAGCTTACTGCACCCTTGACCTCCCAGACTCAAATGATCTTCCCACCTCAGCCTTCCAAATAGCTGGGACTATAGGCACTCACCACCATGCCCAGCTAATTTTAAAATTTTTGGTAGAGACAAGGTCTCACCATGTTACCTAGGCTGGTCTTGAATTCCTGAGCTCAAGTGATCCTCTGGACTCGGCCTCCCAAAGTGCTGGAATTACAGGTATAAGCCACCACACCCAGCCATATCTCTGTTTTTCTATCTTCCCACCCTCATAGTGCTACTTATTCATCCAGCCATCCATCTATCCATCCATCCATCCATCCATCCACCCTCCTACCCATCCATTTATCCACACATCCACCCACCCATCCATCTGTTCATTAATGAATTCATTCAACATACATTTATTCAGACATGGTCCCTCCTTTCATGAAGTTTACCTTCTGGTGGTGGTGGTGGTTGTCAACTAGGGGACCAGACAATAAGCAAATTAAAAACACAGTGCCATTTTGGACTGAGTACTCTGATGGAAATAAACAGGAATAAATGCTGTATAGGACCTGGGCAGGCAGGGCTACTCGAGATGGGTACAACCAAGGAGATAACAAGCCACTTGGGAAGGAGCCAGCCATCTGAAGAGCCAACTCTCTGCACCTGCTTTGCTGACCCAGACCCCACTTTCCCCTCCCTCTTAAGCTTCTCCCTATGCTCATTTCCAAGGTAAGGATCTACAAGCCCTCCATGAACCTGTCTTGAGGGAAACTTGACTCTCCTTGACGATATTGCTTCCCCTTGAAGCTCTTGCAAATACGGTTGTTCATTCTCTGCCTCCCACCATATTCCCAGCCAGAAGAGGGGGTGTCGAAACCCCTATTCCTGGTGCTGTTTCCACGGGCATATAAACGTCCCCATTCCTTTACTATATGAATGTATGTATAGAAGAAAAACATGGTATAGACAGAGTTCAGCACTATTTGCAATTTCAGGCATCTACAGGGGTCCTGCAACATATATCCTGCTGCTAACAGGGGATTGCTGTGCACCACACAATATGCAGGAAGACTTCCTAAACATCTGTCTTAATCTGTTTGTGTTGCTATGAAGGAATATCTGAGGTTGGGTGACTTACAAAGAAAAGAGGTTTATTTGGCTCATGGTTCTGCAGGCTGTATAAGAAGCATGACACCAGCATTAGCTTTTGGTGAGAGATTCAGGCTACTCCCACTCATGGTGGAAGGGGAAGGAGAACAGTGTGTGCAGATTTTACATGGCAAGAGAGAAAGCAAGAGAGAGAGAGAGTGGGGAGAGGTTTCAGGCTTTTTTTTCTTTTTTTCCCCTCTTACCACATCCCAGCCAGGCTCTTTTAAACAAGTAGCTCTCTCAGGAACTAATAAAACTCACTCATTACCAAGAGGATGGCACCAAGCCATTTATGAGGGATCTGTCCACTATGATACAGTTTCCAATGGGCTCCACTTCCCACACTGGGGGTGAAATTTCAAAGTGAGATTTGGAGGGAACAACATTCAAATCCTAGCAGTGACCTTTTCTCATCTCTCTTCCCAAGATTCTGCACCTTGGAATCCTCCCAAGATTCTAGAAGAGAACAGATATGGATTCTGTTCCTTACCCCTTTTCCTCTACCCCACTCAAAACTTCTGGTCCACTTAATTCTTTTGTCTCACGCATCCTTCCCATCCACTGCCTCCTCTTCCCAACTCTTTTTCTTCTCTCTCTCAAGTAGGATCTATGTTTTTATTTTATTTTTTACTTTTTTTGAGACTGAGTCTTACTCTGTCACCCAGGCCGGAATGCAGTGGTTCCATCCCAGCTCACTGCAACCTCCACTTCCCAAGTTCAAGTGATTTTCTTGCCTCAGCCTGTCGACTCTCCCTTGACTCTCCGTGACCTTCTGTAGGGATGTTCTTACACCTGGCCTTAATTTTTAAAAATAGAGATGGGATCTTACTATGTTGTCCAGGCTAGTCTTGAACTCCTGGTCTCAAGTGATTTTCCCACCTCAGTGCTGGGATTACAGGCATGAGCCACCACTCCTGGCTGACCTCCTACTTTCATCTCAGAGGCTCTCCCATCCCACCCTTGGGCAGCAGGAAATGTGAAGAGAGTTTTATGCCCCCTTTGCATGGCCACAGCTAAGCCACAATAGACTCGAGAATGCAAACAAGAACTGTGTCTGGGTTTTTTTGTTCGTTTGTTTTACTAGAGGTAGGGTCTCACCCTGGCACCCAGGTTGGAGTGCAGTGGCATCAGGATCCTGGCTTACGGCAGCCTTAAGCTGCTGGGCTCAAGCAATCTTCCTTCCTCAGCATCCTAAATAGCTGGAACTACAGGCACGAACTACTACACTCAGCAATTTTTTTTAAAAGGTTTTTTTTGTAGGGGGGGGGTCTCATTATGTGGCCCAAGCTGGTCTTGAACTCCTGGATTCAAGCAATCCTTTTGCAATCCTAAAGTGCTGGGATAACAGGCACGAGCCACGGCACCAGACCAAGAACTGCATCTGTTGGTTCATGGCTACATCCAGTGCCTGGCATCTGCGTGGTCCTCATTAAGTTATTTATTGAATGCCCCGGGAGCTGTGGCTCACACTTACAATCCAAGCACTTTGGGAGGCCGAGGAGGGTGGATCATTTGAGGTCAGGAGTTCGAGATCAGCCTGGCCAACATGGTGAAATCCAGCCTCTACTAAAACTACAAAAATTAGCTGGGCATGGTGGCACATGTATGTGGTCCCAGCTACTCAGGAGGCTGAGGCAGGAGAATTACGTGAACCCAGGAGGTGGAGGTCACAGTAAGCCAAGACTGCACCACTGCATTCCAACCTGGGCAACAGAGAGAGACTCTGTCTCAAAAAAGGGTATCTATTGAATGAACAAGTGAGGGCTGCCTTTTTCCTGACGCCCCCTAGGGAGACAGGGAAATCCCCACACACCTGTCCTGGAGTCTATATTAATTTGCTCAGCTGCCATAACAAAATACCAATGACTGCACAGTTTCAACAACATAAATTTATTTTCTAGCAGTTCTGGAGGTGGGAAAGTTTAAGATTGAGGTCTGGCAGGGATGGGTTTCTCATGAGAGCTCTCTTCCTGACTTACAGATGACTGTTTCTCACTATGTCCTCACAGGGCCTTTCCTCAGCAAGTGTATTTGGAGAGAGAGTGAGGTGTCTGATGTCTCTTCTTTTTTCATTATTTTTAATTTATTATTATTATTATTTGAGATGGGGTCTCACTCTGTCACCCAAGCTGGAGTGCAGTGGTGCAATCTCAGCTTACTGCAACCTCTTCCTCCTGGGTTCAAGCGATTCTTTCTCAGCCTCCCAAGTAGCTGGGACTACAATTGTGTACCACCATGACTGGCTATTTTATTTTTATTTTTGCTTTTTTTATATATACATATAAAATATAGAGATGGGGTTTCACCATGTTGGCCAGGATGGTCTCGATCTCTTGACCTCGTGATCCGCCCGCCTCAGCCTCCCAAAGTGCTGGGATTACAAGTGTGAGCCACCGCACCCGGCCTTTTTTTTGCATTTTTAGTAGAGATAGGATTTCACCCATGTTGGCCAGACTGGTCTCGAACTCCTAACCTCAAGTGACCCCACCTGCCTCAGCTTCCCAAAGTGCTGGGATTACAGGCCTGAACCCCTGTGCCCTGCCTTTTTTTTTTTTTTTCATTTTAAATAACTTTTATTTGATTCATTTAGACTAAATTAAGAGGACAAAATCAATATAAATATTACATTAATATCATTCAAGAGTCATTAAAGAAAATATTAAAATAAACTCAGACAATTATTTATATCTGAGGAAAATAATATTCAATGCCTAAAAATAAGACATATGTAAGATAGTGAATTAGTCTTTTCATATGCTGCTAATAAAGAAATACCTGAGATTGGGTAATTTATAAAGGAAAGAGGTTTAATTGACTCACAGTTCAGCATGGCTGGGGAGGCCTCAGGAAACTTAACGATCATGGCAGAGGGGAAGCAGACACATTCTTCTTCACATGGCGGCAGCAAGGAAAAATGCTGAGTGAAGGCAGGAAAAGCCCCTTATAAAACCATCAGATCTTGTGAGAACTCACTCACTATCATGAGAACAGCATGAAGGTAACTGCCCAGTGATTCATTTACCTCCCATCAGGTTCCTCCCATGACACACGGGGATTATGGGAACTATAGTTCAAGATGAGATTTGGGTGGGGATACAGCCAAACTATATCAAATGGTAACGCTTTTCTCTGCTGTGTTTCTTATAGGGATGCTAATTCTATCAGATTAGGTTCCTACCCTTATTGCAAAGCAGTTTCACTGTTCATTGGTGACCACTTCAGCCCACTGCAAACAGGGCTGCAATTTCTATCACTTGTACAAGTCTGATGAGACAGAACACTCACACGAGTTCAGCAAAGCAGCCCTATTACTCACAGGTAGACAGTAGAGGACAACAGAAGCCTATGATTTGGGCCAAGCCAGTCTCCCAAGGCTCAGGGAAGCTGTCGGGGAAGATGGAGTCTTGTTTGTGCATGCCCAAGTGCACCACAGCTAAGGAACTCTGAAAAGCAACCCACTCTTGGTTTTATACCCCAGGGGCACGTGATCACTAGGCTAAAGCATTGAAAGATAGCCTCCTGTTCTAGGAGCTTTGAAACAGAGCCCAAACTGTTCTTTCCAAGAGAGCCCAGACGCTCTCTTCCCAGCACTTTCTACAGCTATTCTTTTTTTTTTTTTTTTTTTTTTTGTTGTTGAGACAGAGTCTAGCTCTATCACCCAGGCTGGAGTGCAGTGGAATGATCTCAGCTCATTGCATTGCAACCTCTTCCTCCTGGGTTCAAGCAATTCTCCTGTCGCAGCCTCCCAAGTAACTGGGATTACAGGCATGCACCACTGCATCCTGCTAATTTTTGTATTTTTTTTAGTAGAGACGAAGTTTTGCCGTGTTGGCCATGCTGGTCTCGAACTCCTGACCTCAACTGGTCCTTGCATCTCGGCCTCCCAAAGTGCTGGGATTACAGGTGTGAGCCAGTGCACCCAGCATACTGTTATTCTTGAGAAGTAGAGGTGAGAAGGCAGAGTGGGAGATGTTGTTGGGAGGTACTGGGCTGATCCAAGGCCATAGGGAAAACTGTTCTGCACTTATGACCTCAATTAAACTTCATCATTTATGCACTCCAAATACAGCTACACTGGGGGTTAGCACTTCAACTATGAATCTGTGGGGCTGGAAGAGGGTGAAGACACAAACATTCAGTCCATAACACAGTCCTACTAATTTCCGTTCCCCATCTCAAAGACTCACACTTCCATTGCATTCTCTACTCTTCACGTCCGCTCATGCTCAGGAGTTTTTATCTCCTCTACAGCAGGAAAACTCAGCTAAGCAAATAGCCTTAGCTTTAGAAACTGGAAATCCCTTCTGCTGTACCACTCTCCCTCAAGGCAACAGATGCCTCATTTCCGACAGCCCAAATGGAAGAGGGCCATCGGGTACAGGAAAAAATAAGGAGAAACTACAAGAGAAAACAAAGAATTCACATGGCTTGCATATCAGTATATTACCCTTCCATAGGAATAATCAAAGTATAGAGCATTGAGTAAATAATGAGTGATAATTTTTATTTCTTCCAAGTTATAGAGGAGGAAAGGAAATAAGGTTTAAAATGTGAACAATTATAATATGTAAGAAAAAGCAAACTGCAGAGCAGTGAGGATAGTGTGATTTTGTTTGTTTGTTTGTTTTTTGAGATAGGGTCTCACTCTGTCACCCACGCTGGAGTGAAGAGGTACAGTCATAGTTCACTGCAGCTTCAACCTCGTGGGCTCTAATGATCGTCCCACCTCAACCTCCCAAGTCACTGGGATTCTAGGTGTGTGCCACCACACCCAGCTAATTTTTTAACTTTTTGTAGAGATAGTGTTTCACTATGAAAACAAATATGTTTAGATACTTTATCAGTTTATAGGAAGAAAAAAACCAAAACCTGAATGGGCACACAGCTTTTTCACAGTAGCTTTCATCTAGAGAATAGAACTAGGGAGGGAGCATCTGAACTTTTTATTTTATACACATCTGCATTTAAATAAATCTGTGAAACGTTTCATGTGAATAATAAAATGTTAAAACATGATGAGAAGAGTTTATTAAAAGAAAAGACTAGATACTTAAGATAAATGTTTCCTTTGGTTAAAATTCCAATAAAATGGTATCTGTAGGACTAATAAAGAAAAAAAATCCAATAAAACAAGGCTGAGATAAAAGGACAAAAACAGATGCAGTCTGAAATAAAATAATGAAAATGAGAAGTTATAACAATCATACATGCAACGTTAAAAATTAAAAAGCACCCTGAGATGAAATGTCAAAGATGTAACAATGAGAAAGGCAGTATAATCTGCATTTTTAAAAAATGTGTTAGAGAAAATAAGAAGACAAAGACCAAAGTTTAGAGATATAAAAGAAAGCCAGGGAAGTCAATCATTAGAAACAGTTAAGACTGAAGCTTTGTTAACACGATTTTTGTCTGGCTTCCTGTAAAAAGTCTCCTGTGTCAGAATTACTTTTATTATCCCCGAAGCACCATCAGCCCCTCTACCTTCACTCACAGACCCTGTGACTCCAACTTCCACCTCTAGTTGACTTTCTGGTGCAACCACTTTTGAGCACAGAGTGCAGCTCCTTAGAGCCACAAAAATGCACTCAAGGCCGGGCACAGTGGCTCATGCCTGTAATTCCAGCACTTTGGGAGGCCTAGGTGGGAGGAATGCTTGAGCTCAGGAGTTCAAGATCAGCCTGGGCAACATAGCAAGACCCCATCTCTCCCCCCAAAAAACAAAGATAACAATTAGCCTGGCATGGTAGCATGTACCTGTAGTCCCAGCTACTTGGGAGGCTGAGGTTGGAGCCCAGAAGATCAAGGTTGCAGTGAGCCATGATTGCACCATTGCACTCCAGCCTGGGTGACACAGAAAGATTGTCTCTAAAAAGAAAAAACAAAACATGCTCAACTTGGCTAAGCACAATTGACCTCAGGGATCCTGAGCCACAGAGATGCAATTCTGTCCTTTGCAACTGAATCGGCTTTGTAGAAATTTCTGGAATCTTAGCTCACAGAAGGAAGGTACCTCCACCCTCCCCAGAGCAAAGCAGAACTGCGTTGAAATTCCATGTTACTCCTCTAAACCTCCATTTCCTCTTTTGTCAAATGGAGGAAGTAAGAGCCCACCTCACAGAACTGTCATGGACACCAAATACACATAAGGAGAGTTGGAAAACATTCAGATGAGAACACTTGCCTCCTTTTGCAAAGGAATAGAATGTGGTTTGAGATTTGTCCAACATCACACAGCAAATACATTTAATTCAATATCCTCTCTCTCCGAAGCATGTTCCTTTATGCTAGGCTTGGTTTGGGGATTATGTTTTTTTTGTTTGTTCATTTTCTTCCAGGGACGTTTTTGGTTGCATGTCTTCAAAGTTGTCAAGGAGCAGGGATTTCCAGAGACAGGCTGCCACCTGCCCCAAGAACAATCTTTAGGATTAGTTGAGTTCCCTGAAGTTGGAATAGAGGTTCAGCTTCCACTCAAGTGGAATTTTCTAGCATTAAATGAAGGCAAGATTCATGTGTGTTCCCCTTTCATTTTGCTGTCATTCAAGTTTCCTTATTTAAAGACATAAACTGAAAGATTAGAAGGGCAATGTAAGAGTCACCTTTTTGTAAAATGAATTAAAATGATATAGATACTAAAACTGGACCAAATAGTCATTAGGTAATTAGGGATTGCCACTCCCACCTCCACCCCAACCCAAGGCTGCTTAAAACCCTCTAATGCCTGGCTTTAAAAGCTGGGAATGAAATCAACAAGCAAGAAAGGGGAGCCATGAGGTGGGCAAGACTTTAGATTTTCTGGGTCCAGGCCTGCATATGGAGGCCTGACAAAGACTAGCCTGGGCAACATAATGAGACTTCGTCTCTTAAAAAAGAAAAAAAAAGTAGTTCAAGCCCTTAATGGTGTTGACTTAAAGTCAAGAGAACTATCAATGTTTAAATGAGGACTTCACTTCTTGAGAAGGATTGCAACCTGCAGTTGGGAAGTGGAGCCTCCAGGTGAGACCAAAAACAGGCACTTCAGTGGAGGAAGGGTGGGGCAGGAGTTTTATGCTAAATGGGTTGACTGAACATATATATCTAAGAGGTTACGGGGGAGCTATGAATATTCATGAAGGGGGTGTGGGCATGCATGCTAAGCAAACATGCATGTTACATGCATCCCATGTTCACTCTAGGATGGAGAGTTAACACTAAAATGCAGTAAAATTCGGCTCTATACGTCAAAAGGCGAAACACAGGACACAAAGTCATTTTGTGTGCATCCTCCATAAACTGGCCAGAACCAGTCCGTGGTTGGTGGTCATTTATTGGGAAGGAATGCTTTGTGAAACTGGCCAGCTGCCATGTCAAAAACAGAAAAATGGAGAGGACTCTGGCCATGGTGCCAGGCAGTTTATTGAAGTTGGAGTCAATGGAGGAGTTTTCCTTTTTTTTGTAGGGCTAGTTTTTGTTTAATTCTTAGGAAAATATGTCTGGTATCAGCTAGTAAAGAGAGTAGACCAACTTCCTGTCATCATAGCTGGGAAAATTAGGTTTGTTTTGTTTTGTTTTGTTTTTTGAGACAGAGTTTCGCTCTTGTTACCCAGGCTGGAGTGCAATGGCGTGATCTCGGCTCACCGCAACCCCCGCCTCCTGGGTTCAGGCAATTCTCCTGCCTCAGCCTCCTGAGTAGCTGGGATTACAGGCACTCACCACCATGCCCAGCTAATTTTTGTATTTTTAGTAGAGACAGGGTTTTGCCATGCTGGTCAGGCTGGTCTCGAGCTCCTAACCTTGTGATCCACTTACCTCGGCCTCCCAAAGTGCTGGGATTACAGGCGTGAGCCACCACACCTGGCCAGGATTTTATTTTTATTTCACATTGGTATAGTTGTTTTATTTGACCACTTGACCCTTCTGAAAGGTCCCTCAATGTAGAGACAGATACAGTTCCTCTAATGTCACTGTTCAGCCCCTTCCTTCCCAGAAAGCATGAGCACTCTAGCGCATCTAGACCCAGAGTCTCTGCCCTCTCAAACTCCTGAGCCTTGCATGGAGCCCAGACCCCAATATCAGACTGTTCCCCATGGGAAATATGGTGATGGTTATCTGGGGGGTTTCTGTAGCCCCTTCTGCTATGGTTTGGCTCTGTGTCCCCACTCAAATCTCATCTCATATTGTAATCCCCATGCATTGAGGGAGGAACCTGGTGGGAGGTGATTGGCTCATGGGGGCAGTTTCTCCCATGATGTTCTCATGACAGTGAGTGAGTTCTCATGAGATTTGATGGTTTAAAAGTGGCAGTTTCCCCTGTGCTCTCTCTCTCTCTCTCTCTCTCTCTCTCTCTCTCCTGCTGCCATGTAAGACATGCCTTGCTTCCCCTTTCTCTTCCCCCATGATTGTAAGTTTCCTGAGGCCTCCCCAGCCATGTGGAACTATGAGTCGATTAAACCTCTTTTCTTTATAAATTACCCAGTCTCAGGTAGTACCTGTATTGCAGTGTGAAAATGGACTAATACACCTCCCTAAAGTCAAGTTTCCATCAGGGCCATCCCAAGTTCATTAGACAGGTCTGAACATGTTCAAACCCAAATTGCAAACTTTCCTTGCCTTCTGGGACCCAGACAGATGAGGCTGAGGGAATGAATCAGGTGTCCACAAGCATTATATGCAGTTAGGGCAGCGCTGTTTCTCAACATTTACAGAAAGACCTCTAAGATAATATTATCTAACTGCATAGCACAGAATATTTTAGTCCTAGTGAAGATGCCCTGTTACATACACACACACACACACACACTATTTACATGACATTTGGGATTGAATGAAAATACAAATAGTTTTGTGTTTCATTTTCTTAATAATACACTATGATTTCTTGGGGCTGGGCATGATCGCTCACACCTGTAATTCCAACACTTTGGGAGGCCAAGGAGGGTAGACCACTTGAGGCCAGGAGTTCAGACTAGCCTAGGCAACATGGTGAAACCCTGTCTCTACTAAACATACAAAAATTAGCCAGGTGTGGTGGTGCATGCCTAAAGTCACAGCTACTCAGGAGACTGAGACACGAGAATCGCTTGAACCTGGGAGGCAGAGGTTGCAGTGAGCTAAGATCGCACCACTGCACTCCAGCCTGTGTGACAGAGCAAGACTCTGTCTCAAAAAAAGGGGGGTGGGCCTATGATTTTTTATTAAACATTTATTTCTCGCTTGTTATTAAGCATTTATTCAAAAAATTTATTTTATTACATAGGATGAGTGTACCATAACGTATTTTTTCACTTTTTTTTTAAGACATGGTCTCACTCTCTCACCCAAGCTGGCGTAAAGCGGCACTGTCACAGCTTACTGCTGCAGCCTTGGCCTCCTGAGCTCAAGCAATCCACTCCTGCTTTGGCCTCCCAAAGCGCTCGGATTACAGGCATGAGCCACCGTGCCCAGCCTTTTTTCTTTCTTTTTAACTTCTTATTGGGAATATTTCTTATTCTCTGCTCTTGTGAGAGCATGATGATGACCAGTTATACATAGCCCTTTATTATGTCCCCATTTGTTTCCTCAAGATAGATTCCTAGAAGTAGAATTGCTGGGCCAAAGGGCTTTTTCCAGACCCTTGGTATATATTGCCAAATTGCTTTCCAGAAGGTTTTCCAAGTTTACTCCTATCAGGAGAGGGTGGATCTTACTTCAGCTTCTTCAGAATTCAGTACTTTGTGATTAGTTTTTCTTTATTCTTTTCCTTTTCTTTTGATTCATTTTTCTTTAACCTTTGCCTATTTAATAGAAAAAGGTTTCTTGTTATTTTAATATGCGTTTATTTCAATACAAGCAAGGTTAAACTATTTTATTATAATTATTATCTATTAGTGAGCACACCAAGAATTTATGTCCTTTGCTAATTTTTCATATTTAGATATTACTGGAGATTTTCTTCTTGAATTGCCAGACTACTTTTGATAGTAAAGTTTTTGTTTGTTTCTTTGTTTTTTGAGACAGGGTCTCACTCTGTTGCCCAGGCTGGAGTGCAGCGATGCAAATACAGCTCACTGCAACCTCCACCTTCTAGGCTCAAGCAATCCTCCCACCTCAGCCTCCTGTGTAGCTGGGACCACAGGTGTGCACCACCACACCCAGCAAATTTTTTTATTTTTTATAGTGATGTGGTCTCACTTTGTTGTCCAAGCCGATCTTGTGGGCTCAAGCTATCCTCCCACCTCAGCCTCCTAAAGTGCTGGGATTACAGGCATGAGCCACTGCACCCGGCCACAGTACATATTACTTTAAATATTTTTAATACATTAAACCTTTTAGGGCTCCCTAATTCCTTCAGGCACTCATCTTGGTGCAGTGTACAAAGTCCCCCTTTTCTTTTTTTTTTTTTTTTTTTTTTTTGAGATAGGGCCTCGTTACATTGCCCAGGTTGGTCTTGAACTTCTGGCCCGAAGGAATCCTCCTACCTCAGCCTCCCAAGTAGCTGGGATTACAAGTGTGTGCCACTGCTCCCAACTTACAAAATCCTTTATTTTTATTATTATTATTTTTTTTTTTTTGATACGGGGTCTTGCTCTGTTGCTAGGCTAGGATGGAGTGCAGTGGCATGATCTTGGCTCACTGCAATCTCTGCTTTCTGGTTTCAAGCGATTCTCCTCCCTCAGCCTCCCAAGTAGCTGGGATTACAGGTGCACGCCACCACACCCAGCTAATTTTTGTATTTTTAGTAGAGACGGGGTTTCACCATGTTGGCCTCTATCTCCAGACCTCATGATCTGCCCACCTCAGCCCCCCAAAGACAAAGCCGTTCTTAAACTTGTCTTCTTTCTTCTTTAACTGCACCACAGGGCACTTCTGCCTCAGTTGTCTGAACTATTGCTAGAAAAGACTTATAGGTACCTGATGCTCCTTGATACTTCAATTCCTTTAAAGACGCATTTTCTTCCTCCTAGTGCAAAGTTTCTCAACCTTGGTACTATTGACATATTGGCCCAGGTAGTTGTGGGGGGCTGTCCTGTGCACTGTAGGATGTTGAGCATCAATCCTGGCCTCTACTCACTAGATTCCAATAGCACTCCCACCCCAAGCTGTAATAACCAAAAATATCTCCCAACATTACCTACTGCCTGTAGAGGAGGGGAAGGTTAGGGGAGGGAGGAGTTAACCCACCACTGAGAACCATCATCACACAGTGACAAACCCTCCACCCCATCCCCAAGTGTCTCACCTACCTGCATCACTCCTGCTTATGCTCTGAGACTCAGGTCAATCCGTCCCTCTGCCTGAAATTTTTCCCTGACCTTCCCGGGTAAGCAAGCTGTATCACATCCCACAAAAGTGGATGCAACCCTCTCTTTTTTCCTCTCTTATTAAACTGTTTTGTAATCTTGAAGTCTGTCTGTTACCCCATGTGACCTTATGAACTCCCCCAAGTGTCTGCATCCCCCAAACATGATGCGTAATAAGTGTTTGTAGAGTATATGCAAAAATCCTATAGCCTGTGTAGCCTGTGGCAGTCCCATATGAAATGTCATCTGCCTGTACCTGGGAGATGGGACACAGGGAGTGAAACAGTGGAACTTTCTAGGTCCAATAGGATGAGTACCTTGACCAGCCTTGGGGCTACAAAATTACAACTTCATATCTGCATTTTATCTCTGTGATGGCAACATCCTTTGGGGATCTACAAATTGGATTCAGCCACCGCCAGCACCTCTTTCTAAAGCCAGACCACCCTGTATTCACCCATGTATTAGTCAGGGTTCTCTGGAGGGACAGAACTAATAGGATAGATGTATATATGAAGGGGAGTCTATGAAGGAGTATTGACTCACACAATCACAATGCGAAGCCCCATAATAGGCACTCTGCAAGCTGAGGAGCAAGGAAGCCATTCCGAGTTCCAAAGCTGAAGAACTTGGTGAACTTGATGTTCCAAGGCAGGAAGCGTCCAGCACAGGAGAAAGATTATAGGCTGGGAGGCTAAGCCAGTTTAGTCTTTTCACATTCTTCTGCCTGCTTTTATTCTGGCCACGCTGGCAGCTGGCCACCCAGCTTGAGGGTGGGTCTGCCGTTCCCAGTCCACTGACTCAAATGTTAATCCCCTTTGCCAACACCCTCACAGACACACCCAGGAACAATACCTTGCATCCTTCAAGCCAATCAAATTGACCCTCAATATTAACTATTACAACCCAGTTGCAGGCATAAGAGCTGGACTATAAGGTCACAAGGCTTTCTCTCCACCTTGTGTGGTAATAAAGAAGTTGCCTGCCAATCACAAGTGGAAAAACCCCCAGGCAATAACTCCTTACAGACATTGCTTGCAAGACCGCAATATTTCACCATGTTGGCCTCAATCTTCTGACCTCGTGATCCACGAGGGTCTCAGCCTCCCAAAGACAAAGCCTTTCTTAAACTTGTCTTCTTTCTTCTTTAACTGCACCACAGGGCACTTCTGCATCAGTTGTCTGAACTACTGCTCAAACAGACCTATAGGGACCTGATCCTCCTTGATACTTCAATGGTTTAACAGGGCAATGAAACTGCCTTGCTACAAGCCTGATACAATGGCATTTCGTGAAATCAGATGTTGTCAAAGAACCATGGAACACATGATCATACATATTTTCCTGGTGTAAGAAATGGCCCTGGGCATTACACCAGATTTGGGCTTCTGGGAAGCTGACATGGATGCTTTGCAGGACGCAAGTGAGGCCTCCCAGTCTTCTTGTTTGAAGATTCCATCCTGGTACCACCCATGTCAAATGAGGAACTATCGTGCTCCAAAACATCCAGACAGCCTGCTACATACTGGAGACCATGCTTACGTTCCAGTACAACAAGAAATATTTCCTTGCCAAGCCCATAAAAATACCTTTTTCTCCCTTTGCTATTATTGGAAATCTGAATGTAATACTATTTTTTTTTCCAAGAGGGAAGACCAATCTTAGTATAATGACAGGACATGGAAATATAGAAGACAGAAATAGATATTGACAAATTATTTTTTCTTTCCATTTTCATTTGTGTGGGGATTTTTCATGCAAAGCAGGGACATAAAGCATTCGTGCAAGTCAAAATGTTTACTGAACAATTCTATAATAATCACAAATAGACCTGTTAAGTTTTTTCTAGACCATGCCAGCATTTGGATTTTTTTTAAACAGGTAGCATTTTTTAAATCAATGACAACTAAATGATGTTTAGAGCATGTTAAATGTATAGCAGAATCCATTCATTCCCTTTTTTTTCTTTTGAGACAGTCTTGCTTTGTCACCTGGGCTGGAGTGCAGTGTCACGATCTTGCCTCACAGCAGCCTCCACCTCCTGGGTTCAAGCAATTCTTCTGCCTCAACCTCCTGAGTAGCTGGGATTACATGTGTAAACCACCAGGCCTGGCTAATTTTTGTATTTTTATTAGAGACATGATTTCATCATGTTGGCCAGACTGGTCTTGAACTCCTGGCCACTGAAAGTGCTGGGATTACAGACGTGAGCCACTGCATCCAGCCCACTTTTTTTTTTTTTTTTAAGCAAGTTATCTTACGTGTAAGTACATGTTTTGTTTGTTTGTTTTGAGGCGAATTTTCACTTTGTTGCCCAGGCTGGAGTGCAATGGCACGATCTCAGCCCACCGCAACCTCCGTCTCCCAGGTTCAAATGATTCTCTTGCCTCAGCCTCCTGAGTAGCTGGGATTACAGGCATGTGCCGCCATGCTGGGCTAATTTTGTATTTTTAGTAGAAATGGGGTTTCTCCATGTTGGTCAGGCTTGTCTGAAACTCCTGACCTCAGGTGATCTGCCCACCTTGGCCTCCCAAAGTGCTGGGGTCACAGGCGTGAGCCATTGTGCCAAACCAAGTACATGTTTTTTTTTAATGAACTTCCCTGTTGTTCCTGGGGATTTGTTATTAAAATGCATTGAACTACTCATTTTTAATGCTAGGAAGGGGCTGGACATTTTTATTTTACTAATTAACTGAAGCCCTACAAGGTGTTTTGGGATTTGTTTTTGTTTTTTTTTTTTTGTTTAAAGACTGAGTCTCACTCTGTCACCCAGGCTGGAGTGCAGTGGTGCAATCTTGACTCACTGCAACCTCCACCTCCCAGCTTCAGGGGATTCTCAAGCCTCAGTCTCCCGAGTAGCTGGGATTACAGGCATGCGCCACCATGTCCAGCTAATTTTTGTATTTTTAATAGAGACAGGGTTGCAGCATGTTGGCCAGGCTGATCTTAAACTCCTGGCCTCAAGAGATTCCTCACTTTGGCCTCCCCAAGTATTGGGATTACAGGTATGTGCCACTGTGCCCAGCCCCCCTGAGGTTTAAGACAGTAGTTTGAGACAAGGTGCAGTGGCTCCTACCTATAATCCCAGCATTTTAGGAGGCCAAGGTGGAAGAATCACTTGAGCTCAGGAGTTTGAGGACCAGCCTGGGCAACAGAGTAAGACCCTGACTCTACCAAAAAACAACAACAACAAATTTTTTTTTAAAAAAGACAATCGTTTACACACTGTAATGCACAGGTAAATCTGCTGGGAGTCTTGTTAAAATGTGTATTCTGGCTCTGAAGATCGGGGGTGAGGCCTAAGAATCTCCATTTTGAACAAGCTCCCAGGTGAAGCTGACTTGCTGGTCCAGGGACCACACTTTGAGAGTGAGAGTTTGCCATTACCAAACCCACAGAGCCCATTTATCTTCTGGCAGGGATTAGAATCCAAGTCTCCAGGTAATCTAGCTATTGGTCAACTATCCCACATGGACCTTAATAAGATAACCATAAAACTCATCATCCTGGCCGGGCATGGTGCCTCACGCTTGTAATCCCAGCAGTTTGGAGGCCAAATCTCACCTGAGGTCAGGAGTTCAAGACCAGTCTGGCCAACATAGTGAAACCCCATCTCTAGTAAAAATACAAAAAATTAGCCAGACATGGTGGTGAGCACCTGTAATCCCAGCTACTTGGGAGGCTGACATAGGTGAATCGCTTGAACCCAGGAGGCAGAGGTTGCAGTGAGCCGAGATGGCGCCATTGCACTCCAACCTGGGCAACAAGAGCAAAACTCTATCTCAAAAAAAAAAAAAAAAAAAAAAAATTCATCATCCCAAATGTGACTTTTTGTAATAAGGAAAAAAGAAGTGCTGTTAATGATTCCTGGGCCAGAGCAGGACTGTCCAAGGCAAATACATACTTATTATTACATTGGCAATAAAAGAAGCAGAGATTGAGTCAGGTGACGTGGCTCATGCCTGTAATCCCAGCACTTTGGGAGGCCCAGGTGAGCAGATGACAAGGTCAAGAGACTGAGACCAGCCTGGCCAATATGGTGAAACCCTGTCTCTACTAAAAATACAAAAATTAGCTGGGCATGGTGATGTACCATGCCTGTAATCCCAGCTACTAGGGAGGCTGAGGCAGGAGAATCACTTGAACCCGGGAGGTGGGGGTTACAGTGAGACGAAATCATGCCATTGCACTCCAAACTGGCAGCAGAGTGAGACTGT